CTTTTCTTCCTTCTCCTCCCTATACTCTTTCCCAATAGAATGGAATATTTTTGAAGATTTACCTTTTAACTAGTCCAATTGCAATAATCTTGAATCAACCTCTTCACTACATTAATGTTCCTCAATTTTGCATCCTAGAAGAGAAGAATGTCGTCTGCATATAAGAGATGTGAAATCCTCTTTGCGTTTTGTGATAGTTTGATCCCAATATCCCTTAATCCAAGTAGAATTGTTCCCATTAATCATTATAGAGAACATTGGATTCTTCACACAATTCATCAATAAATATGAGAATCTATTTGGAAAACCAAATATCATCAACATTTGCTTCAAGGTCTCCCAACACATGCTATCATATGGTTGTTCCATGTCTATCTTGATAGCCAAATACCCTTCTCTTGCTTTATAGCACCTGATTTTGTTACACACCTCTTGAGCCAAGATTAAATGGTCTGAAATTGATCTACCTTTGAAAAATGCAACTTGTTCTTCTGATATCACCTTATGAATCACCAAAAGCATTCCATTCAAAAATACTTTGGTTGCAATCTTGTAAATGGAGTTGCAAAAGCTTATATTTCTATATCCAGAAGGAGACACTAGATTTTTGACCTTTGGTATCAGCACAACCAATGTCTCTTTCCATTCATCACAAAGCTTACCCGTGTAAATGAACTTATTTATTGCCCTGCATACATCATCACCAACTAAGCTCCAATAAAACTTGAAGAAAGAATAGGTTATACCATCACAACCCGGGGCTACATTCTCACCCAAAATTTTAATTACATTCAGAATTTCTGCATTGGAAAAATCTGCTTCTAGCAAGCTTTTATCATCTTCATCCAACACACTACCAGGAGTCGGCCAATTCAGTAGAGAACATTCCCTATCCCTCCATTTTTCTTTGAAAATTTTTAGAAAAATGTCTTCAATCTCCTTTGGAGCATCCAGAAGGATCCCATTAGTTCCTTTAACATGATTGATCCAATTGCTATTTCTTCTTGCATTTGCAATTTCATGAAAGTATTTCAAATTTGAATCTCGTTCTTCCATCCACTTTACCTTAGCTTTTTGCCTCCGCAAAGTATTCAATCTAGCAAGACGGACATTCAGCTTTCCCACCTTACTCCTTAATATTTTTAGACATTCTTCACTTAATCCATCGCCTCCTCTTCTTGTAATTGCAAAATTTCTTTTTTTCAACTTTTCATTGTGAGATGAAAAATCCATCACCTTTGCTTTGCTCCAAAAGAACAACTACTTCAAAGTTCTTTTACATTTAATGTTTAAAACTTGCATTTCATTTCCTCTATATGTTTTTTTCCAAACTTTTGAAATAAAACTCAAGGATGCATGAAAAGACACCCATACATCCTCAAATCTCAAAATCATTTTTTTCCTTTCAGCTTGTTCCAATATTTTTAAGATTAACAGGCAATGGTCAGATGCTATTCTAGCAATATGCCTTTCAGCCGCTACTTGAATTTTTTCCAAAGCATATGAATTCAACAAACACCTATCTAATCTCTCTAAAATTATTGCTCCCCCACTTTTGTTATTACACCAAGTATACCTTGGTCCAACCACTCCAATTTCATGAAAATCATTAAGATTCATAAAATCGATCATTTCTTTTGAACCTTGAGAGAAAGTATATTTCCTTCCACTTTTTTTTTCTTCTTGGGCCAGAATAAAATTAAAGTGTCCTCCAATTACCGAAGGAACCTTCCTATAAGATACCACATGAACGCAATCCCATAATTCCCTCCACTTTACTACATCCTTAATACCATATGTTGGAACTCGTTCAATATGAATTAGGATGTTAAGCCTAAGTGATTGTCCTAAGGCTAACCAAGAGGGGGGGGGGGTGAATTGGTAATTTAAAAATTATACTTCTACTCTTGGATTTTTAGAAAACCTTTTAATTTAAAGTTTAAAAATAAACTTTTCAATTAGAGTAAATAACTTGCAATTAAATTAAATGCGGAAGAAAAATAAGAAAGAACACACCAGATTTATAGTGGTTTGGTCAAACCTTGACCTACGTCCACTCTCCGGAGGCACCCTCCGAGTATTGCACTAATACCACAAAGTGACTCTCCTTTTTCCCCCAACGCAAGGCGGAGAAGCCTATACAAAATCACTTTCACCTTCCCTGGTGCAGTGGAGTAGCCAGGTTCTTTAAAACCAAAGAGATATTCTTTTAGCCAAAACTTCCCTCAAGATGACCCTTGAATCCGATGGTACTGAGGTGCAAGTTCGCCGAAGCAACCATGTGAATATCCCCTCCACACTCCCTTGAAATCCCCTTCAAGGATCTTCTCCCTCTCAAACTCCACCCTTTGCTCTCTCCCTTTCAAGTTCTCTCTTCTAGTTTTCTCCAAAAGAACGAAGACACAATTCGGTGAGCTGATCTCCACATTACCATAATTCCACATTCAATACCTCTTGAAGGGAAAAGAAAGAAATCCCAATCCATTCCAATCATTTTTTTGAAATGCCAATTTGTCCAAGGTAGAGATTTTGGTCTCTATCAATCCAACAAAAAAAACCTTATATTCCTTTACAAATTCATTCAAATAAAGAGAGGCTTTCTTCTTATTGGCCCCTCTACAATTCCAAAATGCAATTGAATTCATTGATCAGCCCATGGGGGAGAGCCCCCAACTTTTAATCTACCATTTCCATCCAAAGTTCTACCCCTTGGTAGTTTGGCCCAAGCGATTTTAGTTCCTTTGCAAGTTTGAACTTGTTTCCTTCAGTATTACCTCCTACCTACTTCTTTTTATTCATTCCCACATTTCCATTTTCCAGCACCCTACAATTTTCCACTTCCATTTTATTTTGTGTGCCATCTTTACTCTCCTTTACATACTTTTTAATAGCAGCCTCAGAACATAACTTCTCTTCCACATTTTCACTTAAAGATTGAAACATATTGGACATACTTATAAGAGAAGAGGTAGAAACAGATTTTAATACCTTGGTAGTCGAAATTTCTTCATTGGAATTCCCAGCCCTGTTGAAGCAATCATTCTGCAATGCTGATTCAGCATTATAAATTCCTTCATCCAATCTGATTTCACCTTCCTCTATCAACTGATTACCACCAATTCTATTCAGTCCTCCATTAGTCCCACAATCTTCCTTTTCCTTGATGAATAGAGTAACTTTAGCTTGACAGGAATCTACTTTGCTTTGATATTTCATTTCTACTTTTTTCTATAATGGTCTCAGCTTGGACACTTCCCTATTAAACCTTATGTTCCTTCTATAATTAACCTGGACCCATGGTTCATAACTATCTTTCACCCCTGCCTCTTGTGCCTTATGCAAATTACCTTGGCCTTGACTAAAAGAAGTATCCACAGGTTTATTCTCCACCACATTTGCCTTATTACATTTATTTTTATCATGACCAATCATGCCACACTCATAACAAAAAGATGAAATTCTCTCATATTCAACATTTTGAAAGAATCTCCCACCGAATCCTTCCACTCAAACTCCTAGGGGAAGTGGTTGGTCTAGCTCCACTCGAATCCAAACTCTAGCAAACTCCCTCCTTCCCCATTGAAACATATTCCCATCCAACACCAAGGGAACTCCTATAATAGAAGCAATCAAAGCCACATTCTTTTCACCCAACATTGAAGAGGCAATTGTGGCATTCAAATCCATAAAGGAGAAGTTAATCCTTTCATTGATCCAGGAGAGAAATCAATTGCCCACTTTTCCATTCCCACAATGTAACCATTTACAAACCAAGGGCCATCTGATAGCACTCCTTCCATTGCTTCCAATGTCTTGAAAGAACATAAATACCAACCCTTTCCTAAGGTTGTAAAGTGAAATTGTCCATGGAGAGCCCATTGTCTTCTCAATTCCCAAGCAACTACATGAGAAGGAACTTCTTTGCCAAACACCATAACAACCAGTGAATACTCTAGCTTTTTGGCATTCAAAACTTTTGTAGATTCAACTAACTTAAAAGCTTTTCCATCCTCAGATAACCCCACATCCTCCCTCTTGAAATTCAATTTGTTATAAGGTTTCTTACTCCACGGATTATTCATCCTGCTACCATCATCAATGTCTTCAGACATTTTCTCAGTCACTGGATCAGCAGCGCATTCACTGCTCCCCATAGTTTTCTCCAAAGGATCCCTCACCATCTTAATGTTATTATGAATATTTTTATTAGTTAGATCCAAAGAATTCACATTTATCTCGCTATCATAAACAGAGATTGCATTTGAATTCGCATATCTATTCACAAAAATTTTCATACCAGACGCTGAAGTTTCAAGTCAAAAGATTTATTCGGAGAAAATCCATTCAATTTCACACTTTGTGGAGTTTTACATTCAACATTCAAAGAAATGTTTTTACCTATGCCTTCGACAGTCTTAACCTTCTTAGAATGAAAATCAACCTTTTTAGAAATGATTAATTCACCTTTCAATCTCGCCTGCGTACCTCCTCAACCTCAAGATCAATCCCAGTTACCAATCGCCCTTGGTCAGATTTATTTTGCATAACCACTCCGCCTACAGCTGATGCTTTCACAGTCGAAGCCATCGCCGGCCGGTGGCCATCCGCCGCCATGTCATTTCTCCCTCCGAAATCCAAGGAGAAAAAACCGGAAATGCAAAAATTTGAAAATTTTTGAAACTAGGCCTTTCTCTCTCTAGAATCTAACGAGAGCTTCTCCCTCTAGAATTCAACCTAAATTATACTTTATGTACAAAAAAAAAATGTACTAGCTGAAGATGGCAGATGTTGGCCAGAGAGTAACAATAACAAATGAAGCTTTACTATTGCATTGCATTTAGAATTTCTCAGAAAATAAGCATCAAATATATTAAAAACAACTTTAAACGTACATTTCAAATATTTGAAAATTTTCTTTCACTTTTTTTTCTTCAAGTCAAATATCAATGATTTTTAAATTTCTTCATTTAAAATTCTTCTAAGCCCGTTTTATTTCATACCAAATAACCATTAATAATTTTTCATGGTTCACACACACTTTCAGCACCAACCCGGCTCCCAAAAAAAAAAACCTCTCCTGTTCCCTCCCATGGCGGCCAACATACTAAGAAAAAACTCTCGATTCACCTGCTCTCTTCGGCCCTTCTCCAACGCCGCCGCCACCACTGATACATCTCTCCCCTCCACCATTCTATGCGCTGCCACGATCTCCCGCATCAAATCCTCCATCCGCGAAGAATCAAACCCTGACCGCTTGGTCGATCTCTTCAAATCTGCCGCCACGACACCACTCTTTTACGGAGACCGCGTCATCTACAAGATCACAATCCAAAAGCTTGCTCGAGCTCGCCGTCCCGACCTAATCGAGCTTCTCCTCGAACACCAGATCACAAATTCCTCCACCCCCAAATCAGAGGGCTTTCTTATGCGCATCATTTCTCTATACGGCGGAGCTTCCATGCCTGATCACGCCGCTTCAACCTTTGACCGCATTGCAGTTCGCCGCTCAGAGCGCTCCCTTTGCGCCCTCCTCAGCGCCCTCCTCAAGTGCGGTCAGCATGCGCGCGTTCTTGAAACATTCAAGAAAGCCGAACGAGTTCTTGGGGTTGCTCCGGGAATAGCTTCTTGTAATATTCTTCTACGATCGCTTTGTGAAGATGGCAACGTTGTAGCCGCCCGAAACATGCTCGATGAAATGCCGCAAAGTGATCTTATGCCTGATATCAATTCGTATAATATGGTTTTGAATGGCTATTTAAAAGAGAAGAAGGAGGAAGGATTCGAGGAGCTTCTACAGGAGTTAACAAAAAAGAAGATGGATGCTAATGTATCAACCTACAACTGTAGAATTGCTCATCTTTGCAGTAAAGGAAGGACCTTTGAAGCGGAGGAGCTTTTGGATGTGATGGTTTCAAAGGGCATTTGCCCAAACGTTTTTAGCTTTAATACTTTAATTGATGGGTTTTGCAATGAAGGGGATGCATGCTCAGCAATGAGGGTTTTCAGAAGGATACATGTAATGAAGAACAGGGATAGCAGTGTAGCCTCTACAAATTATACAACCTATATAGTTTTGCTGGGTTGTTTGGTTGAGAAAGCTGAATTTGATTCTGCTTTGGAGATCTGTAACCTGTGCTTGAGTAAGAAATGGGTGCCTCCATTTCAAGCTGTGAAAGGATTGATCCATGGATTGATCAAGAATTCCAATGTGAAGGAAGCCAAGAATGTAGTAGAAGAAATGAGGAGAGCTGTTAAAGGTGATTCCATTGAGGCATGGAAAAATGCTGAGGGTGAGTTTGCTTTTTGAGGGTTTTGTAGTTGATAGAGCCATACGACTCTCCAGTGGTTTGTTTTTATTGAGTTCCATATTTTAACGTGTGATGGTGTCACCTACTTGAAATTACTTTTTAGCTTTCGAATGAAGTGATTTTACCTGAAAATTTTTATTTTTTATTTTCTTGCTGTTATCTTTTCTTTTGAGCTCATTGATGGTGATACTTCATTTCCGAATTTTGCTTCCTCTATAGAATTCCCAAATTATTATCTCGGACCATGATCTTCTATTCATTAGCACCTTTTGGTGCACCCTTTTTAAAAAGATCAATTGAAAGCTTTTTTTCAATTCAGCTTATCACCCCGAATTCGATGGACAAACGGAATTGGCCTATAACACCTCTTTCCATTCAGGTATTGCCATGCCACTCTTTCAAGTATTGTATGTTCACCATCCACCACCCATTAACCTGTACTTAGGTCGATCCCTTTCCTATGATGACATGCATATCTTGATGCACAAATTAAGAGATTAGTTCTTCGCCAACTTCGTCTAAATCTACAGTGCACCCAATATCGAATGAAATAGAATGGAGATAAGAAATGTCAAGACATCCAATTTAAGGAAAGTGATTTTGTGCTTGTTAAACTTCAACACTACCGTTAAACTTTACTTCATACTTCACTGTTCTCCAAACTGGATAAGCGCCACTTTTTAACCTTTCAAATTTGATGAAAATTTGCCTAGTTTCTTGTAAACTGGATCTTCCGTGTATCCGCTACATGTTCCAGTTTCTTGTGAACGGGACCTTACAAGCATCATAATTTGCACTAACGCAACATCTGCCTGATTCTTGGCTCAGCTCTTCTATAATGCAACCAATGCTCATCATGCAGATCCGCAACTACTAAAGAGGGACACTACAACTAAGTGATAATATAAAAATTATTAATTGCAAATGACTTTTATTAGGATATTTTGCGCTTGTAATATTTATGTTTTGTGCAAGAAAACAATAAAAAATTTAGAACCAACATCGCATTGCTATAAAGCCAGTGTAAAGCCAACACCGAAGTGCAAAGTTCATTCTAGCAACACAACGGAGAGCTTTCAGAAATGGATTGGAGAGCTTATAGAAATGGATTATAGAGCTTAGTGTTGATGTGCTATTCAAGCAATGTCGCAATGGTAGACGGAGCGCTGCAGTGGAGAATCACCCAGTGCCAAGGTGGGAAACAGTTGACTAGTGAACCCAAGCGACGGATAGTGAACTGTATGATGCTTTCGTCCAGTTGCAACGCCACTAAGATAGCGCCATGTCACTAGTTCATTTATTTAGAAGAAATATATAAATAGGAACCTTAGGCATCATATTGAGAGGCTAGCATAGTGTGGAGTCTTTTTGTGTGTGGGTGTGGAATTTTTATTAGGTCTGGTGTCCTGACGTAGCTCTACGTTCGGACGCTAGTAAAATGGTGTCACGTGCTCTTATTCTTTACCGCGCGGCCCGACGACTCGACTCAGACTGGACCTGGGATTACTATGTATTCGCTGATTTGTGCAGACCGGGATATTGCTCGGCAATAACAAGAAATACCATTATGTCAAAACCAATACCTAGCAATACCGAGCAATACCCCGATTTTGCTAGTATTACTCGGTATTGCTCGGTATTGCTAGATATTGGTCTTAACAGAGCGGTATTTCTCGTTATTGTCAAGCAATACCTAGCAATACCGAGCAATACCTATCAATACGCGATCATAGCAATACCGGGTTCCGGTCAGGATCGGGTCGTCGGGCCATGCGGTAAAGAGTAAGAGCATGTGGCGACATGTTATTGGCCTTCGGATGTAGAGCTATTTCTGATGTACGGACCTAATAATTGTTCGTGGGTGAGAGGGTTGTCTTGAGAGGGAGTAGATTGTACTTGTAGTGTTGCATTGGTGTGGATCAAAATGGAGAAGTTCAAATGAGCTGTATTTTAATTTTGGGACATCTAAACCTTGCTTTACATTATTTATCTTGTGCTGATTTTGTATTTTGTTATTTATTAAGTAAAATAAAATGTTTGTTATGTGTTACCTCATCTCCATATATGGCGAAATATTTTCTTTGAATTTATGATTATTTGAAAGGCATGTGTTGCTTAGGTAGCTCTACGTTCGTTGCGAACTTTTATTACGTCCTCTGACCGGACGTAACTCTACGTTCGGTCAGAGGATTGTTACTCGGTTTTTGCTCGGTATTTGGTCGGTATTGCTAGGTATTGTTTGGTAATAACGAGGAATATTGCTCAGTGAAGACCAATACCAAGTAATGCCGAGCAATACCGAGTAATCCCAAAAAAAATACCGAGTTTTTCTAGAAAAAATTCGGTATTTTTTGGGATTACTCGGTATTACTCGGTTATTTTATCTTCACATAATGGTATTTCTCGTTATTGTTGGTATTGCTCGGTATTTCTCGTTTTGTGCCTGCGATCTTAGTGTCGGCCGAACGTAGCACTACGTATGTTCACCAGACCAAATAAAAGTTCGTTGCTTAGGGTAGGTTTAATCTTTAAAGTATTTATGTTGTTTTTAATTTCTCCACGTTCCAATTGATTTATGTAAAAGCCTTCATAAACTTAAAATTTAGTGTGATATAGAACATCAACGGATTAATTGAATAATAATTAGATATTTTAAAATATAGTTTGGCCATAATATAGACATATGGTGATTAAAATTATAAGTTCTTAAGAAGAAAGAATAATTGCAGTTAGGAGAGATCTTAGCTAATATTCTAATGTGCTCGATAGAGACAATGAGTACTTAAGCTTTGATCCACAACAACAATAGGTAGAATGCCACTCGATGCAATCGTGTACTTTTAAATATTATATGTTCATAATTTTTAAAAATAGTAAAATTTTTCCCTAAAATTTAGACTTGTTAAATTTAATATGCAACACCTTTTAAATCATAAGGCTAGATAAATTTTTTAATTGACTATGCAATATAAAAGTGAACTTAAGAATTTCTAGTTTGTTCATCGTGGGATCAACACCTTTTTTATCAATATATTTCTGGGTACCGTACGTGCATTTGCATGAAACAGACCTTACATTTAAAATTAAATCATCTTAAGTGACATCAATAGTGTGTGTAAGCTAAAACATGAAGCTTTGCATTATTTGCAAAGCCAAAATAAATTGCTTGTCAAATTTTTTGCATCATTGCGAGGGACTAATATTAATTATTTCTTATTGTGCATTTTATATTGTTGAACCCATAGATAGTTTAGTATAGTTTTCTTTTCAAAATTTATTTGTTTAGTGTTGCTTTGCTTATTGATAATCTATTGTTTTTTAGTTTTCTATTTTTTTGTTATTGTGTTGCTTACTATTGCATGCGTAGCACTAAATAATCATAAGAACTATTTTACACTGTAATAAAAAAGAATTTAAGAAAAAAAAAGAAGGAAAACTAAAAAATTTCAAAGGAAATTTTAAAATGGTTGAACAAATTCCTTAATATAATCGACTTAGATTGCTTAGGAAATACACAAACCTACCTTATGGTTGAAGGTACTTATCAAAGTATAAGCAAACCTAGTATTCAACCTAATAATTTTAAATTAAAACTTATAGTAATCCAGATGGTGCAAAACTTTTAGTTTGGGGAACATCACTAGCACACCCTAATTTTCATACAGCTAATGATGATGTTATTATACTTATGTTGTTCTCATTTTCACTTAAGGATAAGATTAAAATGTAGTTAAATTTATTGCTCCTAGGCTCAAAAATAAATATGAATGAAATTGAACATAAATTTCTTCCTAAATATGTTTTACTATCTAAAACTACTAAGCTTAAAAATAACATCACTTTGTTTATCGAGTTAAATGATGAGTCTATTTATGAATCATTGGAGAGATTTAAAGAACTCTTTAGGAAATGTTCTATCACACCCTTCTACTTTTTTTTTTTGAAGGAATGCATAAAGCAATTTTATTAAAAAAGTAATTACAAACTACTAAGTGATTGATCCACAATCACATTCCTCCTTTAACAAAGAAATAAACGGAGGAGGAATCTTATTACTACTTAAGTCATCAAAAAAAATATATATAGAACGAGCATAGTTAGCACAACAATCTGCTAACTTATTGCAATTCCTATTTGCAAAATGAAAAAAGAACTTGATTGAAATCTTTGAGAAAAGATAAATCTTCTTGCTTTAGATAGTCCTCCTTGATCATCTTTATTCAACAACCTCTGAACCAAATTGATGACATTATGATTATCACCCTCAATAATGATACCCTTATAATCAAACATCCATTCTTGAACAAATTTTCTAACAGACATAATTGAAAAATGCTCCAAATGTGTCGAATCCCAATGCATACAACTAACATCAAAAGAACATAGAAATCTACCTTTATGATCTCTGAAGACACATCCTATACTAGCTTTATAGTTACTCATTAAAGAGGCATCAATATTAAGCTTAATCCATTCTGGGGGAGGAGGATGCCAAGAAGAACAAGACAGCTACATCAGCTGGTTGGTATCCCAGTAATCCGAACTATAATTAAGACAAAAAGAAGCAGTAGCAAAGCTAATTGCATTAGCTGCAATGAATACCACACTATCCTCTTTTCCACCATGTTTTATCTTATTCCTGCTTGTCCAAGAAAAGAAAACAATGGAACAATAGACATTACCAATGAATGGGTTAGAATCTACATAAGCTTCCAAGCCCAAAAAACACTCCTCAAGTAATAAAAAAATCCGAACCATGAACCCCCAATTAATAAGAATATTAAACACTTGAATGAGCTTCACACAATTAACAGCAATAAGTTCAGAATTTTTAGCAAACTTACATCCTCTCTGGAATCCATTAAAGTCCAACAACCTTCTATATATCAATAACTCATTTGAAGGAATTACATTGATGATTAAACTCCACTAGAATAAATCAACACGGGGCCTTAGCTTTCGATTTTTTCGCCACTTCCAATGAGAGTCCTCATCACCATTTCCACTCAACTTTTGAGAAACTAAAGCATATATAGATTTGCCAGAACATTTGAAAATAATCTTCACCTGATCACTTTGCAATTCTGGATAAATATGAACAACCATGATAACTTCCACTAAATATTGTCCAAAAACTGTAACAAACAGGATTCATCCCACACTCCATCCAGTATAAAATTTGCTAGATATTTCATATCTTGATTCATATCCGCAACAAACTTTGGGCACTTTCCACTTCATTTATAAAAAATCCAAACATCCTCAATGGTATTTATTTCATAACCATTAGAAACTTTCCATCTAACAATTGGAAGAAGAAATTTAGCTCCACTCAAAATGATCTTCCATGTGGGAGAGAAATTCCTTTTAGTTTCACAATTCCAAATATGAATGCCATATTTAGAGATCAAAGTCCTGTTAAGAAGAGAAGAAGGCTTTGAAATGAAATTCCAAACAAATTTAGCCCTCAATGGACAAACTTTAGAAACAAGTGATTGAACTCCTTGGCCTCCCATACTTCTAGATTTACATAATGCTTCCCATGAAACATAATAAAGACCCTTACTACCATCTTGTTTATTCTACAAAAAATTCCTACACATTTTATCCAAATCATTTAACACTCCCATAGGTACTAAATAATGAGTAGATAAAAAGGTAGGAAGAGAATGAAATGTCGATGTTATAAGGAGCAACTTCCCTGCTAAAGATAAGAACCGGTTTCCCCAAACATTCAAACGATTAACTGCTTTTTCCAACATATTTTGGAAATATGAAACAGTCAATCTTCTTAAAGAAATCTTGATACCAAGATACTTAATTTCTTTAACAACTTTGAAACCCAAGAGGTTAGAAAGAGAAATCTTACTCCTTTTAACTGACTTTCTAAAAAGAATAGAAGATTTCTAAAAATTCACCTTCTGGCCAGACCATTTTCTATTGTCTTTTAGGATCTTGCTTACTTTCTCCACACATCTATACTTGGCCTCTAAAAAGATAATAATGTCATCTGCATATAGTAAATGAGAAAATTTTTATGCATTTGGAGCAATTTTAATGACAATGTTTTTCCCTCTTTGAGCAAAAGCATTTGAAAGTAATTGAGAACACAATATAAAAAGATAAGGTGATAAGGGATACCCTTGTCTAAATCCACTCTTAGTATCAATCCACTTCGAATTATTTCCATTAATCATAATAGAAAACTTCAGATAAACAACACTAAAGTAAGAGATTAGAAAATTTTCCTGGAAAATCCAAGTTCTTTAAAACTTGCTTAACAGTGAACCACCCCATGCTATCATAAGCTTGCTCCATAACAATTTTTATTTCCATCAGCCCTTTCTTTGATTTAGAAAATTTGAACTTATTAAACAACTCTTGAGCAATCAAAATGTGGTCAGATAAAGAACGACTTTTGACAAAAGTAGACTGATCTTCTAAAATAATCTTAGGAATGAAATATTTCAATCTATTTAATGACATCCTTGCCACAATCTGATAAATTGAAAAACAAAGGTTAATTTGTCTATAGTTAGAGGGATTCAAAGGATTATTCACTTTAGGTATAAGCATCACTAAAGTTTCCTTCCACTTAGAACTCAAGGTAGCATACATAAAAAAAGAATTAATTGCTTTCCATACATGATCTTTAATAATAGACAAATAAGTTTTAATGAAATAGTATGAAACACCATAAATACCTAGAGAGATATTAGCTTCCAATTGTCCAATAACTCTTTCCAGAACATCCATTGTGAAATCAGCTAGCAAGCTTCCTTTATCAGCATCATCCAGCACTTGAGAAGGAGGCGGCCATCCCTTCAATTTGCATTTCCTGTCCTTCCATTTGGTTTTAAATAAGTCATAAAAACTTTCTTCAATCTGATTTTGATCTTCAACCCACAATCCATTATTGTCTTTAATATGATTAATCCAATTTCCATTATGCCTACCCATAGCAAATGCATGAAAAAACATAAAGTTGGTGTCCCCTTCTGCTATTCACTTCACTTTAGCCCTTTGCCTCAACCATGTATTAAGTTTAGCAAGAGTAGAATTAAGCTCATGTACCTTACTTTTCAGAAACAACAATTTATCTTTAGTCAGACCACCACCTTCAGCTTCTTCTTCTTGCAATACTAAAATATCTTTCTTAAGGTAGTCCTTCAAATTCATCAGGTTCTAATGTTTGGATTTAGTCCAAAAATATAAAGCCCTTATTGCTCTCTTGAACTTCAGATTTAGAGAATGAACCACATCTCCTTGAACTTTCTTATCCCAAGACTTAGACACAATTGATGCTGAAGCTGGGAATGAAGCTGAGATGTCTTCAAATTTCAAAAACCTCCTCTTTCGAAAACATGAAGAGAATAGCTTAATCAAGATGGGACAGTGGTCTGAAGCTATTCTGGCTAGATGCCGAACAGCCGCCAATTGGAGAGCTTCTAAAGCAACTATTTTAAGAAGACACAAATCCAACCTTTCAAGGATACGAGCTCCACTTTTCTTATTATTGCACCAAATAAATTTTGGACCAATCACTCCTATGTCATGAAAATCAAAGTTATTCATAAACATACTCATATCTTGAGATCCTTGAGAAAGCACAAACTTTTTCCTTCCTCTTTTCTCTTCTTGAGACAATATATAATTGTAGTCCCCTCCCACTATGGAAGGAAGCTTACTACCTTAAAGAACTTTAAGTTTATTCCATAAGATTCTTATTTTATAGGAATCTCTACTACCATAAACCATTGCAACAAGCCACACACCTTTATTGGCAATACTAAGCTCCCCAACTATACCTCGAGAAGCAGATTCTACACAGAAAGAGGCCATGTCAGACCTCCAACAAACCGTAATACCTCCAGATAAACCCTCAACAGAAAATAGAAGGAAGTACCAATTTTAACCAATAAATATATTGAAATAAAATCTATCAATAGGTGAAATCTTAGTTTCCACAAGCCCAACAAAAAACACATCATAATCTTTCACAAATTCCTTCAACTATTAGGATGCTTCACTCTTCCTAGGCCCCCTACAATTCTAAAAGGTTATGGAAGACATTAAAGATAAGAATTGGGATTACTCCCTCTCCTACCTCTATTAAACACATCAACTTTTTATTATGTTGAAGAATATTTGCTTTACCCAATGATCTAAGTTTTTTAATTGCTTAAATTTCTCCCCAACAGAACTTTAAATATCTCTCTTCCTATCCTGATTAGAAGCCTTTCCCACTTCATTAACAAGTTCCCCCTCTTATAAGTCATCAACCAATAATTTAATATTTAATGAATGAGCCTTAGGATCGTCATCATCACAATAGGATTCCAAAATTTTAAACTTAATAACATCAGATAGACTTTTAGGGTTGACAGCAAAAAAAACTTACCATCCGCAACATCATTTGCAATATTCACGAAAGAAAGGTTCCTTGATTTATCTGGAGCATCTTCATTTACCAAATTTTTAGCTTGCTCAGCTAAAGCAATATGATCAGCACCACTTTATTCTTCTTCAACTATCATTGAAAGATCTAAAAAAATCTCCTTAATAGTCTCCAAATTATCTTCACCACAAGCAACAGGAACCTGGGCCTTAGGAAGAAAATATGATAAATGAGCTTTTTTAACATATACAGGACCGTTTTTCACCAAATTTGACTTTGAATCAGACTTCAATTGGTTAAATCTATTAAATGGTTTAAATTTCCTCTTCCTATTATTGACATGCACCCATGGACCATAAGAAGACCCCTAGCTCACAACATATGGTAAAGCAACATTCACACCATTGGATTCTCCAGTAAAAATACAAACTCCTTCATTTCCAAGAATGCTCTCCTTTACATTTCATTCATTAATAAAATGACCAATCTTTCCACATTTTAAATAAAAAGTAGACATTTTCTCGTATT